TTTAATGGCTCCTACGGTATCAGTGGACAGATAAGCCTTAGCTAAAATTATACAGGGTGTCACCCAACGGGTATTACATACGTCAAGGATATAATCTAGAACCCAAATAGTGTCGATTTAAACAAACTTCCTTAAACGAAAAATGTCGCAAAAAAGTTACAGGGTGTCAAAGTTTCTTTTATTATTTCTTGTTTTCTTCTTAACTCAGAACCCAGTTAACCGATTTGAGCAAAATTTCCTGTTGCTTAGTTTCTCTTCATGAAGTATGCAGTAATTATGTTCCTTTTAGGATAAGTCATACAGGGCGTTCATTTTACTACAACCCTTTGTAAATATTCTTGTGTAACTTTTTTGTACGTTTAAATTTGTACATGCAACTATCAGAAATAGGTTTTTTTTTATTTTACTCAAAAAATGTATACCTATCAAAAGTCGAAATTATGCTCGATTATGAAGATATTACAGCAAATATTTATTAACACATACCCCATATTTTTTGGGAGTAACTACGTATCCATAATAAACATAATAAATAACATAATTATTAATAACAATAAACTGAAAGGTGGCAGTAATAGAAAATTTACTAATTTATAATAAATGGGGAATAGGAAACGAATTATACGTTCGTCTAACTTGCGTACGGCATCTTTTATTCTATCCCAAAGTTGTTCTCCCGTATTAGGTGTTACAGAGTAGTGAACTGTAGAGCCTACTCTCCATTTTAAGAATACAAACCCAAAATCTTTACTAAATTAATTACAATCAAAATTAAATTAACGGAAAGATACCCTCGGACTTCTCCCGCGCGTACGGCTATATGCCTGTGCCCACAGAATTGCCCGGAACCGATTAAACGCAACTCAATTGACGTCACACGCCAAAGACCAATAAAAGTCTAGATTTTGCTGCAGCAGAAGAATATCTCGTGCACGCTAAACGAAACCCAATTGATGTCAAGCACCAAACAATAATGAAAGTGTAGAATTTGCTGCAGCAGAAGAATATCCTAAAACTGTGCAATATCAACTGCTCTGGTAGAATGCAGCACACAGCTCATATTTCTCTTTGTGTTGACTGCTAAAAATGGTGAACCGGATTGAAGATGAAATCACTACCTATTATTTTGGGATACGACTTGTAAAAATGTGTTTGATTATGTACGCATTCCCCCACTCCTTGAGATTCCAGTCTATAGAAGTTCTCTTATGTATGGTAGGTAGTAACCGAGACCTATGACTTCTATTTTGTTTTAAAAATCGAATTGTTCTGTACTAATAGCGACACTATGAAACCTATCACTAACCGTAACATTTTGTACTTTCCGTTAAAACGCAATATCACCTCCGTTCCGTTGGCCCGTCTGGGAGCGGGCCAAACCGTTCCCCTAACAAAATAATATCTGAATAACGATATTACTTGGCCGTAACCGAGACCTATGCGTATTTGTTTGTATTCGAAATAAAGTCAATTTGCATAAGCTCTTTTCAATGGAAAATCAATCACGATGATAGATAACTCGAATGAATGTCGATGCGGTTCGCCAAATAGAGGAACGTTTTTCTACGGAACAGGATGAAGAGCTGTTTCGGGAATATCGCGAAGGTCGAGAAGTTTAATTATCATCGTGACATTCAAATAATATTTACGAAATCAATCACGACAACAAATAGTGCATTTGCATGTGATGCCATAATATGCCAGGGCCCTACCTGAAGGTTCAACAAGGCGACGATTTTAACTTAATTTTGGAAATAATGAGAACATTTAACAAATATTACATAAAAATGTTTTGTTTCTAGAATAGGAATTTCTGGAAATATTAACTTTGAACGAACAAAATTCATATTAATTCAAATGAAAGTTAAAATTACAAACAGTTTTATAGGAATAAGTAATAAAAAACTTAATGTACTTTATACAGGGTGTTCTACAAGCTCTATGGCAAACTTTGACAGCTAGGTGAAGTTCAAACTTTTTTTTTGTTATAAACTAATCCAAAAAATTAAAGGATCAAAAGAATTTCCGAAATTTTTCCGTGATTTTTGAGACTATTTATTTGAAGCTCTAAGATTCTAGTTTTCAGATTTTTCTATCGAAATTTTTTAGGAGCTACGGTTATCATGCAAGTATTTTACAATTTTCCTTTTGTTTTCTTTTCTGAGACCACGAACTTGAAAAATTTTTTCTTTCAGCTAAGCCATTGCATGGACCAGATAGCTTGTTTATTCAGCTTCAATTTCCTTTTTTTTTTAATTTTGATACGACCATTTTTCATCGAAATATCGAACTTTCAATGGAAAAGGATCCTTTTGTCTTCAATCTTCGATATCTTAGCGACAAATAGTCGTACAGAGAATTGAGAGGCAGTTTCGAAATCTTGAATACATTTCCTATAACATGCTGCAGCAACTTTTCGGAAAAATTTGTTTTTCATCTTTTACACGAATTTTAAAAAACAGGAAAAAAGGGTAATTTATGGTTTTTTAGAAAATTGACGGGTAAATTAGAAATATTCACAAAATGACTAATATTAAGCACGACTTTTACAGTTCGATATACCCAGAAAAACCCTGTGAAGTTTCATTTCGATCTAGCAAACCGTTTCTTTGGTTCAAACAGTCAAACCTTTGAAAAAAATTAAAGGGTCATGTTTTTTTGAGGTTAAACACTTCATAATCATGATTAAAATGAAAAAAAATTCCCGAAAAATTGCGGCAGAATGTTATAGGTATTCGAGTTTTCGAAACTGCCCCTCAGTTCTCTGTACGACCATTTGTTGCTGAGATATCGATGACTGAAGACATCCTTTTCCATTAAAAGTCCGATATTTCGATGAAAAATAGTCGTATCGAAATTAAAAAAAAAATGAGGCTGAAAAAACAAGACATCTGGTCCATGCAATGGCTCAACTGAAAAAAAAATTTCAAATCCAAAATTTTTTGGGTGGATATTTTGTATAATTTTTGTAGTTTAAAGATTTCTTAATTTGGTTAATAAATGTTAACTAATAAGCCAGTCATTATAGCTTTTTTCGGGAAAAAAATACTATTAGAAGTTTATCTGCGGAATATTGTTCAGAAACGTGTTATAAACAAAATATCAAAAAATCAACTCGAGACTAGTTGGGAAACTTTGTTAAAACAATGGTCAAAATTATGGAAAAGTGGTTTTTCGACTGGCGTAAAAAAACTGTTATTCATAGAGAAAAAAAGGTTTATACAAAAAAGGTAGGTATTAAATAAATCTGTAAAATAAGACAAGTCCGATTAAATTCCGATAATTTGTTTATGCGCAAGAGCTCAAAAATGGTCGAAATTGTCCGCTTTTTTCAATTGCTAATAATTAATGCAATTTTCATCGCAGACACTTGTAATTCAGGATTTTTGAAGCTTTTTGCACCCTTAATAAGTGGTAAAAATTTCAGCCCAAAAACTTCATTAGCTTGGCGTTGGCGGAATTTGTTATCTAAGAAGATGCTATTTTCAATTCATTTTTCCCAAGCTCACAGGCGTTGTAGGGTTTCGATCATTAGTTGTTTTTGTACCTAAATAGTTGTATTGACATATGCATTTACTGATAATTTAATTTTTCAAATTTAATTTGTTTAAAAATGACTGAAAAAATGTTAATATTTATTACATCGTTAAGCGCGCATGCTAAGCCTCGCCTTCCCCACTCGTTCGCTAGACCAAGTAATAGAACGCATCGCCGCTATCTTCTTTTTCGAAATTAAATAGTTGAATTCACCTTAATGTTAATGTAGGACATGAAAATATAGCTCTTAATGTATACTCTCTCCAAATTTCGGCTCTTAATATTAATAATTAAGGTCACTGCGATTAAATAAATAAAAAAAATTATCTCAGCTTCTAATCAACTTACAACAACGATTTTTTTTTAAATTCGAAGAAAACTAAAGTAAAGAGGTTACTATTTTATTTTATAATAATTACCTATCTTAACAATTTAATAAATATTAACATTTTTTCAGTCATTTTTAAACAAATTAAATTTGAAAAATTAAATTATCAGTAAATGCATATGTCAATACAACTATTTAGGTACAAAAACAACTAATGATCGAAACCCTACAACGCCTGTGAGCTTGGGAAAAATGAATTGAAAATAGCATCTTCTTAGATAACAAATTCCGCCAACGCCAAACCAATGAAGCTTTCGAGCTGAAATTTTTACCACTTATTAAGGGTGTAAAAAGCCTCAAAAATCCTGAATTACAAGTGTCTGCGATGAAAATTGCATTAATTATTAGCAATTGAAAAAAACGGCAATTTTCGACCATTTTTGAGCTCTTGTGCATAAACAAATTATCGGAATTTAATCGGACTTTTCTCATTTTATAGGCTTATTTAATACCTACCTTTTTTGTATAAACTTTTTTTCGCTATGAATAATAGTTTTTTTACGTGAGTCAAAAAACCACTTTTCCATAACTTTGACCACTATTAAAACAAAGTTTCCCAACTAGCCTCGAGTTGATTTTTTAATATTTTATTTATAACAGATTTCCGAACAATATTCCGCAGAGAAACTTCTAATAGTATTTTTTCCCGAAACAGGCTCTTTCATGTCTATAATGACTGGGCTATAACATTTAAACTTTAAACGCAAATAGTAATTATTGTTATGGCAACCAACATTTTTATTCATCAGGCTACTTTGATTGAAATATGAAATTATATTTTTGAAATGCTTGAAATTTCAAAAACAAAAAGAATCGGACCTATGTTCATATAAGAAAAAATGTGTGAAATTAACCCAGCTACAATTTGTCAAAGTTTGTTATACAGCTTGTATCTATCCTCGCGGTTAAAATGCTACTTAATCAGTATTCAATTGTTTTTACGGGAATTAATACACGCTTGTAAAAACCCCAAACAGACTGCGAAACATGATGAAACGTCACTAAATTGAGGTTATGTCGACAAGTTATTTCCCTTCCCCTAAGCGGAAACGTATAAAAAGAGATAGCCACTTACCGATGGTAGTAATAACGATGATGGAATAGAACAAGGACCCCGTGAAGGACCACTGGATCATAGTATCGTTTTCTTCGCCGTCCCACCCGTCCTTAGTAATGGCCTTGAGGAGGGCGTCTTCGAAGGATTTGAGGTGTTTAGATGCTTCAATAATGTAAGTATCATTTTTGAACACAGTCAATATTGTGGTGTAATTCCACAGCTGCTGTATAACTTCTTCTCTGAGAAGGTGTATGCTCTTCTTGACCTACAAAAAATAAATAAATACCTAATGAGAGTCACGCGAACATATACACATATTGAACACGTTTGAACTGTTTGGTAATGTTGCAAAAAATTGTAGTGACATCATTTTGAATAAAGATCTGATCTTGATGATATAAAACGAATATAACGAAATTACAGAGATTTTAATTTCATGTTCTGCGGATTACTTCACCTGTAATTCATTGTCGACTTCTAGGGAAGCAAATGTGTAGGCTCCCAAAACACAATATGATACCACCATAGCCACTAGAGTGATATGGGAAAAAAGACAAGAGATGGTTTTCCACGTATAGTGCAGGAATTTAGAGCAGAAACTTGGAGCTTCATATTCCAACATTTCTGGGTCAGATCTGTAGCGCGACATTTTACGTGAAATTAAATCCTTAAATTTGCAATTTTTTTAATACTTGTAGCCATTCATTTATATTGTCCTACTCCATCAGATGAGTGCACTTCACGTAATTTTATTACCACTACTTAGAAAAATATACGACTCTGGCTTACATTCGCGCCACTTTCATTATTTGTTTTCTTTAAATGTTACGTCTAACTCAACACTCCCTGTGACTTATTTACGAGATTTTATGTCAAGTTCATATTTACTGTTCGATTTTCCTTTTAGCGGAGATCTGCTGCACCGCGATATTCTCGGCATCTAAACGAGACTGGTTCTATTTTCGATAATGTTCATAAAAAGCGGGCGGACTCATATTTACGAATTACAGAAATAGAATAAGTGGTACACTTCGCAACGCTCGTGATTAAAACAAGATTTATTGGTTCTTCTCGAGTTTACGAGGCAGTCAAATAATTGTTTATGGCCGGTTTGTAGTCGTAACCGTAGCAGTAACAGTCGTAACTATCTTGGCTTGGGTAGTACAATCGTCGTTAAGTTCTTTTACCTTGACTAGATAAAATAATACACCACCATCGTCATCGAAAATATTCTTATTGAAGTATTAAATACCACCAGAGGAAAATATATAGAGTTCCACAAGGACGTATTCCATGAACAAAATATCTTCTATTATTAGTATTTTTTGTTGTAGTGTCTCTTTACTTGACGAATATTTCATACCCATTGATAATTTATCAACAATTCAAATCGACAAAACATTGTAATGAATGAAACCATAACAAATATGATAATTAAAATATTCTTGGCGTGCATCGTCATTTTCATTTTTCAGAATTAGTTCACCTGTATACCTTATATTTTGCATTTCACAAGCGAGCCCACCTTTTCACTTCTCGCCTTGGTTTTCAGGATTGCCAATGGAATCTGACGTTTCTGAACGCCAAATATCCCCGAATGACAAGAGTTGCCATATCTGTTTTGCGAGATGGCTGCCGTTTCAGATTTTTTTTCTTTAGGTAGTGTTGTTTGGTGTAGAACATGTTATAATAAAGAAGTGGAAGGTGAAGTTCTGGCTTTCGACCCACAAACGAAAATATTAATTTTGAGTATCCTTTTCAAAGGCGGAAATTTTTATTTCGCAAAACAAAACTGCTTGGTTAGCCAAGGTTTACCTTTATTTTTGTACACTTTTTTGCCACAAAACGCTTCGAATGAATATAATTTCAGTAAATTAAGCAGCAACATGATTACTGCAATCATATAATTAGTTTTAATTGGATAAATTATACATTTAAACGAGTAAAATAGTTTTTTAGGGATCGATGTATGGTGTCTTGTTTTTTAAATAGTTTCAGTAAATATTGTAATAATAATTAGTTATTATCGAGCAGTTAAATCACATTTAACACTTTCAGCAACATTAGAATTTATTTTAGCCTAAATAGTTTCCTTAATGACTATTAGAATGTTTATCGTCAAGTGGAGATCCAAAGCTAAACGATGTCCATTTTATAAATTTATCGTTGGTTAGTGAGCTCAAGGTGAAGAAAGAAGTGACCACTATCCCCGAAGCACCACAGTCTCTTAACCTTCAAAGAGTAAGTACCAATTTAGCTGCCAGGAAAATACTTTTAAATCACGATATTTTTCAGCTAAACACTAGAGTGAGAAATCAAGTAGATGAAAAGAAGAGAATGTTACAGGCAATATCGGCAAACGTCAGTTCCGAGGGCCAAAGTTTGTTTATAGCAATAGCCAAAACGATAAATGAGGTTAGGTGGAGAAATTCCGAAATCGTAATTTGGAATCATGAGGTATGATATGTTTTAATCACCCAAAACGTGTCAATGGAATAAAGATACAATCACACACAATTAAACTTTGTTAGATGGAAGTCCTGCTCTAGAGCTGTTATATTAAATGCTGTGTTATTTCTGATGTCAGTTATAAACAATAGCAAAATTGAAAGTTTAACGATCGTTCTAATGTTCAAAGTGAAAAATAGTTTATTTTTGACCCTGTTAACATAAAAAATATGATTTACATACTTCGGTTAAGAAAACTTGTTCTAGCGTACATTTTGAAAGTATTCTGGTACAACTAACCTAAAAAATTGTTACTGAAAATCAAACCAGCGGGTCTTAGGACTTTATTTTTCATAAATTTATTGTATATTTAGCAAATTACAATGTCACCTTGATAAAGAATCCTCACACCACCTGTTCGGGTCTTCTAGTAGGTCTTTTACAAAATCTCCAACTTTTGTAGAATAGTTTTATATAATCCAATGTAGTGGTTTGTTTTTCACACATAATAATAAGGAATAATTGCAAGGTATTTCAATAAAAAAAACTTCCACAAATTTTGCAAAAACTTCTCACTGCTTGATGAGAACAATTGAAGGCTGGCAATTGTTTCATCATGGCTGTGCAGAAATTTCCAGGTTACCTTGATTTTTTTCGTTATAAAACTATTCAACAAATTTTATCATTAAAAAAATTGTTGAAACAACTTTAACTAAATTTTTTTGAACTTCTTTTAGGTTATAATAAGCCCACCATACCAATTGGAAAATATACAAGGCAACACTACCAGTAAAGAATACGGTTATATAAGGAAAGTGGTAAGTAAACTGAAGTTGATTGTGTTACTTTTAAATTATCGATTGAACGTTTTGTTGCAGGTGGAGAAACACATGAAAGATTTAGGGTTAAATTCCCAGAACTCTCCGGTCTGTCAGAATAGTTCATCGTCGCAATAAGAATCATAGATAATTTCTATATCTAATGCATATACCTCTCGTGCAGTTTTGGTTCGGAACTAAAATATTTTTTTATTTGCATATCAACTAGCGCATTCGGATGTGTAAAATTCATCATACAATCTCAGAACTGTGGATCGTTTTAGTTCAAATTTGATTCTTTATTAAGTTATATTGGAGAATTGTTTAAAAATACCTATAATAGTAGCCAATATGATATCCATCTATTTATTTTATATTAATAAAAATTTAAATTACATTTCGTATTTTTTAATTAAAGAAACGTTGGATAGAAATCAGTAACTGCGTGAGGAAGGAATTGTATATTATTATTTTGTATACATGCCAGAGAATCAAGAATAAATCTCATTTTTCCAGTTGTTTTTTCCTATATACAGGGTGTTTTCGAAAGAAGTAGCACAAATGGTACCGGTGAATCTACAACTAAAAAGAACACATTCTACATAAAAATGACCCTCTTAAAATGTTCGCCCCTTAGGAGATACAGCTTCTCAGTTTCCAAAAAAAATATGGAATAGCTGTAATTTGAAAACCAAAAAAGGTGTAAAAGTCAAATATTACACAAATTTTCTACAAATGCACAATTTCTCAACAATTTTTCGTAAATTTCTGCCCTTTGGAGGGGGTTCAAATAAGCATCCCCTAAATTATTTTTAGCTACAACTTTTTTGTTTGACATAGTAAGTAAGTAAGTAAGTAAGCATTTATTGGTGTTATTACATAAGAAAAATGTTTACACACGTCAAAGAAAAACGGCCAAAGCATACAATTAAAATACAATTCAAAGAGAACCACATCATATTATAAAAACACTCATAAAGTACATAAAGTAGACAACTATAAAATACAAACATTACAATTTGACTTACAATTTAAAATTAGATTAGCAAAATTATGATTTAAAAATTCATCAAGTGTATAAAATGCATTCAATTTAAGAAAGTTTTTCAAGACACCTTTATAATGAATTGGGCATAGATTTTTGACATTGACTGGTAATTTGTTATAAAATCTGATGCAATAATGATTTGTCCCATTTCTAGCTCTGTTCAATCGCAGAAAGTTGTGCCTGATTTGGTTTTTATTCCTGGTTGAATATTCATGAAATGAATTGTTTGACTCAAAACTGATCAGATGTTCTCTAATGAAAACAAGGCATTCAAGAATAAATACACAAGGCAGAGTGAGAACGCCGTATCTAATAAACTGCTTCCTACAGTCAGCTCTATACTGAAGCCCGGCAATGATTCGTATACACCTTCGTTGTAGACTAAAAATTTTTTCTGCATGGCAGGAGTGACCCCAATTAAATATTGAGTAAATCATATTAGAATGAAAAACTGCGTAGTAGGCTGTCAATAAAGTTGCCGTCGAGACAGAATCGGAAAGACTTCTTATAAGAAAAATGATTCTAGATAGTTTCTTGGAAAGCTCAGTATAATTATTGTTATTATTAAGTATATATTCATAAACTGAATATTCAAAAATATATATCAGATCATATACATTTTTTCTTCTCGGACAGTGCGTTGCATGAAGAACCAATATGTCCCTTAAAATTTTTTTTGGAATACAGGATTTGTACGGTTTTTTTCTAGATATACTTGTTAAACCAATTACGATGGTCCAAGGTCCAGTTGGCAACCCATGGCCTCCTGCGAATTACCTACTTTAAAAGTTATTTTTTGAAAAATCATAAATTTTTATTAAAAATCTTACCTTTCATCAATTTATAATGCAAAATATTTTTTATTCAAGCTTAAACCACAGAGTACTCTGTGCTTAAACTTTCAAATTTGAGTTTCTGTTTCAGTTTAAAAATGTAGGAGGCATTGGAAGAGCATGAATATGAAACATTTGCCTTTATATTGATACTGTTGATTAAAAATAGCAAATAATGGACTCTTCTAATTTATTTTCACAATTTCAAAAGTGAAAAACCTTTCAACTTGTTTAATATTTACATTTACACTTGTAATATATGGAAAATCTCATCCTGAACAACCGTTATGAAAGTACCAAAGAAAATATTTCATTTGAAATCGCTTCATATAAGTACTTGTATATTCAATTGAAGATAAACTGTTATAGCAGTTTTATACAGTACGCGCCTGAAGTTTGGAATAAATTCAGTAAAAATGAAACAAATTTTTTTTTTTTGGGAAAAATCCTGGAACAGGTCGATTTTTAATTTAAAAAATACATATTTTAGCATAAAAGGCGATTTTCAACCATCATTTGTTTTCAAGTAATGACATCATCGACATTTTTTTTAAATAGCAACCCCCTATTTTTTTTCTTCTGAAAGATCGTTTCATTGTCGATCCGACACTATTAAAATGTTGCCATCTTACATAGGAAAGTTTTCGAGTAAATGACGATTGATTGTTAGAAAACCCGAATCAATTAAAATAAAGCAAAAACGTTATGCCTGAAGTTTTTTATGGATTATGTAAGTGTAAATCTTTACATTGTGTCACTGTCATACCGACTTTCTAAGTATTGTAAGCGATATAGAAATTATTGTTGAATTTAAAGTATTATGGCACATTTAACTGTCATACAAAGAATTGAAATTTTAATTCTTATCAGATGCGGGGATAAGACTAGAACGCAGCAGGAAGTTTGCAATTTATTTAATGAAAAACATTCAGAACGCCATATCAGCCAATCAACAGTCAGTAAGATAGTATCTAAATTTAGAGAAACTGGCAAGTTTGTAGATATTCCAAAACCTGGACGTCTAAGCGTTAGTGAAGATTACAAACAGAACATTTTGATGAGTATGGTAGATAATCCTCATAATATTTCACGATCGGTTACATTAAACAATGAAATTAGTCAGACCACAGTGCTACGTATCCTGAGACAGGAAAAATATCATCCCTACAAAATTCAACTTGTGCAGGAACTCAATGAAGATGATCCCAACCGCCGCTTACACTTTTGTGAAATTATGATGGATTTATGTCGAGTAAATAGAGATTTACACCGGCAAATACTTTTTTCAGACGAGGCCACGTTTTGTCTCAATGGTACAGTGAACCGTCAAACTTGCAGGTATTGGTGTCAGGAAAATCCTCATTGGATGGCAGAGACACATACCCTACGCCCACAGAAATTAAATGTGTGGGCTGGAATAGTTGACAACAGAATAGTAGGGCCTTTCTTCTTTGAAGGAACCCTTACAGGAGAAAGATATTTAGAGTTTTTACAAAATGACCTTGTTCCAGCGCTTGCAGTAATTTTTCCTAATGATAATGACCCTGATATTCCTGATGACACCATACGGTTTCAGCAAGATGGTGCACCTCCGCACTATGCGCGCCCTGTTCGAGAGTTTCTGGACAATTGTTTTCCCAGGAGGTAGACCGGCAGACGAGGACCGATGGAATGGCCCGCGAGATCCCCAGATCTTACACCCCTGGACTATTTCTTATGGGGCTACTTAAAGTCCAAAGTGTACGTTAATAGACCACATAATTTAGAAGAACTCCAAAATTGTATTATAGAATTTATAGATGAAATACACACAATACCCCAGAATAATTCATAATATGAAAGAAGAATTTCTACACAGACTTGCGTATTGTCAAGAAGCCGGTGGGTGGCAATTCGAACACTTAATTTAATTGTGTTGAATTGTATTTGCTTGACATAGGAGTTGTTATTTTTTTAATGAATAAAATTTACGTTTTCTAACATTCAATCGTCATTTACTCGAAAACTTTCCTATAGGATGGTAACATTTTAATACTGTCGGATCGGCAATGAAACGATCTTTCAGAATCAAGAAAAAAAATATGGGGTTGCTATTTAAAAAAAATGTCGATGACATCATTACTCGAAAACAAATGACGGTTGAAAATCGCCATTTATGCTAAAGTATGTATTTTTTAAATTAAAAATGAACCTGTTTGAAGATTTTTCCCAAAAAAAATTTGTTTCGTTTTTACTGAATTTATTCCATACTTTAGGAGCATACTGATATCGAAGAATTGATAATTTTTTAACCACGATTAATAATTACATGTAATTATTTAATTCGTTGACTGAAAGGTGTAGTGTATAATATAATTAAGAAAATTTTAATTGATGTCATTCTCGTTCATAGAGACGAAAATATACATATAGACAAGGCAAAATCGGCGGCTTCGTATGAAAAATTTAGTGAATTCGATTTTTTGCATAATCACCTCCGTGAGATGTCCCTGAATGAGGATCAAAATGTTACCGGCCGGTAACCTGGTCACAATTTTTTTTAACTAATTTTTTTTAAACAAATTGCAAAAATAACTTGTTTTGCTCCGGAAAAAGTTTTATTAGGTATTTCGGGGTATTCTAAACAAAATAGTTCTTATGCACCATGCTCCTAAAATCAACGGTTTCTGAGTTATAAACAATTTAATGTACGAAAAAATGCAAAAACGGCCATTTTCAAGACTCAAAAACAATAACAAAAAATCAAATTTTTGATGTTACTAAAGTTTAAAAGTAATCTTTAAACATCCCTTGACAAAATACCGAGGAGTTATTTGGTGTAATTACATTGCAATGCGTATTATTTTACCTATTAACAATATACATTTTGACTTGCGCGCCGCGCCGCTCGGGCACTCCACTCTGCGCCGACCTCGTGTATATATTCATCACCTCACTTTTTGATACATTTTAGCAATGCTGAATTTTTATTTATTAAAATTATTTTTTGTTTATTGATATTATAAATTTCTAAACAGTAACAATAATAATAATAACAATAATAATATATCTACTTTACTTAAATAATATCTAATTTTGAATTTGCGAATATCGCAATGAAATTCCCGCGCCGCTATAGGTTAAATATTTTTTCTCGAACGTGTGGAATGGGTATAAACTTAGGAAATATTCCATGTACTTCTGATGTCTTTAAACTACACGTATTAAGAGCATAATTGCAAACGTATATTTGGAAAAATTCAATATACCTACTCTAAATACCAGACGTTGAATATCGAAAATTTCGGTTACAAACTAGATGAAAATGGTGCAGTATTACCCATATTTATGTTTAATAATACCTGATCGATTGATGTAAATGTTTGAAAACATGTAAAACTAAAGCATGTAGTTGTAGAAAAAATAATGTTACTTGTGTTACTTTATGTGGTTGTAATGCAGACGAATGTGAAAATTTTATCCTTAAATAAATATATTTATAAGTTTAAGACATTTTACTCTTTATTTTTTATTTATTTTAAAATATATGTCGAGATATATGAAAAAGTGAGGCGCTGACGGGGTCGGCGCACAGTGGAGTGCCCGAGCGGCGCGGCTCGCAAGTCAAAATGTATATTGTTAATAGGTAAAATAATACGCATTGCAATGTAATTACACCAAATAACTCCTCCGTATTTTGTCAAGGGATGTTTAAAGATTACTTTTAAATTTTAGTAACATCAAAAACTTGATTTTTTGTTATTGTTTTTGAGTCTTGAAAATGACCGTTTTTGCATTTTTTCGTACTTTAAATTGTTTATAACTCGGAAACCGTTGATTTTAGGGGCATAGTGCATAGGAACTATTTTGTTTAGAATACCTCAAAATACCTAAATAAACTTTTTCCGGAGCAAAACAAGTTATTTTTGCAATTTGTTTAAAAAAAATTAGTTTAAAAAAATTGTGACCAGGTTACCGGCCGGTAACATTTTGATCCTCATTCAGAGACATCTCACGGAGGTGATTATGCAAAAAAATCGAATCCACTAATTTTTTCATACGAAGCCGCCGATTTCGCCTTGTCTAATATAGAGAAATGTGACATTCGTATCAGTGGCACGGAAAAATCCTTACTTTCTAATATTTAAGAAGGAAAATCATTTCTCACTCAAGAAGGGATAATTTTTTCAGCATTTTATTTTCTTATTTCTTGTTGCAAAAGATATACTGTTTTATTAATAATCGAATTTGAGATAAAGGTAGATGAACTTCTTGTAATTGTCCCTGCTCTGGACCCCAGATAATATTGCAATACTGAGTAATAAACTAGTTTATAAAATAAATGCTGTGTATATCCTAAGAACTGTTTTTAAAATTTATTTAAAAAAAAATACTCCCCGGCGGGGAATCGAACCCCGGTCTCCCGCGTGACAGGCGGGGATACTGACCACTATACTACCGAGGACTTACATATTCTTTTCTTAGAACTTGGTGACATGCACAGCACATATACTGAGATAAATTGATACATTGTAAATATTTTCAATTATTCATATGGTAACTCTATTTTAATAAATTTGAAATTTGATATAATATCATCTAATTCAACAAAGACCGTGTAATATGTGGCGGTAAATTTGAAAATTATGTCCACATTCTAATCTAAAATCACTGCTGCCATCCTGGTGCCCTTGGATTGGAAAGCCACTGTTGCCAATAGTTGCAACAAATAACGCCTCAAAGCGAGATTAATTTTGCAAAAAAACACCATTATTTCAGCATTTCACTATCCCAATTTTTTTTCTTTGAATTTACTTCTCTCCTATTGTACAAGGTGTGACAAATTATTATCTTTTTGTTTATCAAAATAAATTTTGAAAAATCGATATCAAGTATCAAGATATAGGTGCATGCGGATTCGTGCTACGTTGAACGCGGCTATCCCAGTTCCAGTTACGTAAATCTGTCCTCGCGACGTGACCGTCCATGAAGTGTCAAATGGTGATCGTCAGCCTCTATATTTATTTGAGCCTCTAATTGCATCCCGACGTCTCAAAAACTGGAGGAGTTCGAGCCCTAGGTCAAAATGTTATCGGTCTACAAACAAACGTTCTCTTCGGGTCTGCAAAGGTCAGTACAGTTCTTGACATATTTGATAAGTTATCAGTGGAAACTCTTTTGAACTTTGCTTATCAAATGACCCACATTTAGCATATTTATAAATACTGGAGGATGATCTACGGTCTCAGATTAGGTATCTGGAGTTTTCGAGTGCTTTTGCTTGGGAAAATGCTTAAAATCGCTGATGTTTTGGGGGTGGGTTTTGTGGAAAATTCCACTGAAATTTGGAGTGCAATAAAATCGATATGTCATCGTTTTATCACTTTGTTTTCAATTATACGGTTCATTATTGAACACTTGCCAGATCAACTACTTAATTAAGAATTTATTTTAATTAACGTCATTATAAAGGATAAGTATGTAACAGCTAATGGATTAAATTAGTTGTTAATAAATTCTAACTGGAATCATTATTTTTATGAAAGTTGTACGAAGGTTTTTGCGGTGGTTTCATTCATTGTGTCACAAACCTTGTAAATATTTAAAATTACCTGGATACAACCAATATTTTGACAAAAAAATCGATTTTATAGATAACAGTAATTATATTTAAAAAAAGTTAAAAATATTATCGTTAATGATTTGAGTAGTGTCACAAGACTCAAACTTTATATTTGTTTATTTCTGTTGTCTGTTCAAAGTTCAGATCTAAATATAAGCAACCCTTTCCCGTTTTCTTAAATTTAATTTTGACATTGCATAAAATGCAACAAATAGGTTATTGGAGATATTTATATGTTTCTAATATTAGACTTGTTTTGATAGAATACATCGTGAAGTTGGTATCTTATTATCTTTTTCTTAAACATTTTCAGTTTCTCAACAATAAAGTCAATAAGGAAATAAAATATTAAAAATTAAAATATTTTCATGAGATACCAGATTTACCAATAAACAATTTTTGGTGCAGTACTTTGAAAAATATATTGGCAACTCTTAATATGCATTGGTGTATTTTGAGTTGCATAAACTGAGAAATTAGAGAAAGATTTAAAAATAATTTCCTTTATTGACAAATAAATTTTTGAAGCCCTGAAAGAACCATACAAATATTCTGAGAAACTTTTTCCTTATCGTCAAAAATAATCATTTTCTGTGATTGAACTTGTACATTATTGCTATAATTAGGAGAGATATATGAATATACACCCTATCACCATGTTCAAATTTTAGGACCATAAAGTCAACACAAATGTGATACTTGATTTATTTGTTCCTAAGTTAGCAAGTAAATATATTTGAATCTGTAAATATATAAGAACTTATTTTATTTGACAAGTGATTGAATTGAATTCAATTGATGATATTTTTAAAATGTCCTCCTCTCTTTTGAACACAAAGTCTGTAATCGTATGCCGGTAGATGAAGTAACAATTATTTTTAAACTGATGATATTCCGGGAAGCAACTCTGTGAACTAATGCTGCAACCAACATTGATTTATACCCGCAATCAAAGATTCGGAAGAAGAAAGTTACAAAACCCAGCAGATGATGCTATAAAACCGGAAAATTTAAATTTTCGAGTATTTAATCAGCAAATACTGGAAACACAAGTGTCCATATTATAATTATTTATTGTATAAGTGTTTTAAATAGCATTTTATCCACATAAGAAAAGAATGTTTAAACGCGAGAATGTAGTTTGAGCGTTTAATATTCTTAAGTGGATTAATGGCAATTAAAACAAATGCAATATAGCGTTTTAACCATAATCACATCCCAATCATATTTGTGGAGTCAGAATTATTGGAATTTAATAAAAAAATATTCGCATGGCTTGATATTTCTTTCTAATACTCAATGAAACATGGTAGGTTTTGTTATACCTACTGGTTGCTATGGTACATTGTTTATTATTAATTATTTAATAAACAATTCTGTCTCAATTTGGTAAAAATCCAAGAAAGTAATTGTGTTCCTGTGGCTGTTTTTGAAGACGCTCAAGAAGCAATTTTCCATTTATTGCCAGCAATGTCAGCAAAATCCAGGGAATATTATGAAAAAGTGCTCGCCGAATATAACGAATTGAGGGAAAAACGGAGAGTAATGACAATAAATGAAAAAGTCATGCTATCGTATTTTTTAAATTTGAAGAAAAAATATGCAATTTATCTATGTGGTCGAAGTATTCGATATTGAAGGTCTACAATAATATAGATATTGGAAAATATAATAAGCTTACTGCTTATTTGAAGAGTGAATCGAGAGGATACAAAGCAAAAAAGCTGCAGTATTGGAAAGAGCACATATTGTAGAATTTTTGACTGGGACTTCCGATAAAGAATATTTAATGATTAAGATAATATCTCTTTACCTTTTACATGTTGTGAGGTATATAGAGGACTTTGAATTATTTTAGGTTGCACTAATAATGGGGGTTTCTAGTGCCTGTTGATGCTGACTGACGTTGGCAGTTACCACTTATTTAAATACCTAGCACCAAGACGGGCATTTCAAGAAAAGCGTGAATGCTGTTGAAATATGCAGAAAATATATTTCTCTGCGCCCAATTCGCCTACATCTTTTTACATCAATCAAAAATGTACTTCTCAGTCTGTTGGAATCAACACATTGGCAAAGGTACCCTCAATAGTTGCTTCATTCCTGGATATCACAAATCGAGAAGCATATACTGGCCATTGTATGAGGGGCACTTCAATAACTGTATTGGCCAATAAAAGTGGTGATCTTACAACCATCAAACGGCATGGTGGATGGAAGAGCTCCTCTATAGCAGAAAGTTATGTTGAGGAGTTTATATTTAACAAACTTGATATTGGAAGGAAAATCCAAGGAAAATATTGCTGTTCCTTACAAAAAGAGATATCCGTCACTTGTGCAAATTCTTCACAAACTTTGGCAGTTATGCGTTCCGAAAATGATGGCAACAATGCTACAAGGGTTGTTATTAACGGAAAGGAAGTTGAATGTGATAAAACAAAAAACGAAATGTCTATTACTATAAGTGTAAATGTTAATCCTAATAAGTAAATAAATTAAATTTGATTTATTATTTTTTCATTATTCTAGTAGTGAAATAAAGTTACTTTGTTCCACTAGTGGATAAAGTATCTCTTTCATAGGTGTGGATAAAAGTCCGTTTATAAGGTGATTGTGAATAAAATAGTTTTAATTTTTAGATTGTTCATTATGTTTAATTGACATTATTAATAAGATACACGATTTACAGACTATTATAGTTATTTAATAATAATGATAAAATGCAAACAAGGGTTTAAATAAAATATTTTAGCAATGTTACATCATTTTTAATCCAAAAATAAAAATGTTCTATATCTATCTATCTTACAGGAAATTACTTCTCTGTTGTCCACTTCATCTATAATAAACCGCATTGAATAATATGTAATATTTTAAAAATCAATAGAGTTATCAGAAATGGAGAAGATCACGAACCAATATTTAAAGTTATAGTAAATTGAATCTCAACAAGTATCATATAAGTATACATTACAACATAAAGCAAAGCCATACAATGGGTGGTAGTTAATTAGGTGAACGTGTGAATACAGATCGCGCCACCGTAGAAGTAGTCACTTCCAATCTTCTCCCTAACTTTTGCACACAGTATTTACATTCACCATTCTTGTTTTATTCTTATTTTGATTTAATTCTGTTATATGCTGAATATGCCCAAATAATTGCTTTGAAATGAAAATGTAGAGAATTATTTTTGGATGATCTGCTTAAATAATACTTTTTGGTTAAGAAGTTTGTATTTGGTTTACAGATTTAAATCTATTTATTCTTTATAATTTAATGGACTTATATCTTTGGAACAAATAAGTCAACCTACAATTATTATGATTTTTCGTCTTCAAATTACACCTAATTTATGCCCTTAAATTTAAAACGACGATGCGGGACACCTTGTCAATGACGACTGTCACCAAAATAATATAATCGTTCTCTTTATTTCATTATTTCTTTCTGTCCTTAGATCCGGCATCAGATGCATAGGGTCCGTTTTATCCGATCTAAACATCAATGATTTCGGTGTAAAGAATGAACCCGTTCTAGAATACCTCAAAGGTTCCAAGGAACAAAAAGAACTCTCCGCCTCTCTGTCTGAAACCGCTTGTAATACAGAAGATGTTCCGATTGTAATAGGAGACAAAGAGTACAGGACGAACGATGTCCGTTACCAGGTCGGTAAAACTAGACACATTTGTTCTTGGATGGCAAAACAACTTGTTTTGTAGGTTATGCCGCACGATCACCAAAAGAAAATCGCCAAATTCTATTACGCAGACACAAATCTACTTAAAAAGGCCATTGACACCGCTACTGAAGCACAAAAAGAATGGGACCAAGTACCTATTTCCGAAAGGTGTGGCGTTACATTTAAATATTATGATACTATTAATCTCACCTTCTCGTTTTAGGTTACGTATCTGGGAAAAAGCAGCAAGTCTGATGGCAGGGAAGTATAGGGCGAAATTGAACTCTACAACTATGCTGGGACAGGCGAAGACCATAATTCAAGCCGAAATTGACTCGGCAGCCGAACTTATAGACTTTTTCAGGTATACTAGATTATCTTAGTTGTTTTCAATAATTATTTTGCATATTTCAGGTTTAACGCTTACTTCTTGAAAGAGGCGACAAAATATCAGCCAATTTCAGAAAATCCTAAGATTACGAAGAATTCCATGAGGTATCGCGGCGTCGACGGTTTCATAGCTGCCGTCTCTCCCTTCAATTTCACCGCAATTGGTGGCAATTTGTCGTACACTCCGGCCTTGATGGTAAGTCAAAAGGAAAATTAACACATTTGTACGAGGGGTTTTCTGTTTCACTGTTAAAGAGGAAACATTTTTATTGCCCACGGTAGTTATTCCTCGCATTTATGTTTTCAGGGCAACGCCGTGCTGTGGAAACCCAGCGACACAGCACTGTTGTCCAACTGGACCATTTTCAAGGTCTGTCAGGAGGCCGGGGTGCCACCGGGTGTGGTCAATTTCGTCCCGGCAGACGGGCCCGTCTTTGGGAATACCATCACGGCCTCGCCCAACCTGGCAGGCATCAACTTCACTGGAAGCGTCCCGTAAGCAGAACTGTTTTCCTCGGGTTACCGTTTGAACGTAGACGTTCCTCATAAGTTTTCTTACAGCACCTTTTCGACGCTCTGGAGACAGGTCGGCCAAAACATTAACATATATAGGAACTTCCCCCGCTTGATCGGGGAATGCGGCGGCAAGAATTATCACTTTGTCCACCCATCGGCCGACGTTATGACCGTCGTGAAGGGTACGATCAGGAGCGCCTTCGAGTTCTGCGGGCAGAAGTGCAGCGCCTGCTCCAGGATGTACGTATGCGAATCCTTGTGGCCAAAGGTGAGGTTTTAGCTATCGTTTTTGCAGTTTTTGTTATTAGTTTCGCACAAGTTTAAAAACCAAAAATTAGTATTTTAAGGTACAAATAGTTAATAAATAAAACTTCACAGGAATTTCTATGGCAAAGTTAATACAAATAAAAAGAAAACTAAAGATACATCAAAAAAGTTAAATTTTTTACGCAAATAAATACGCAAAGCTTACTAAAAACTGTTTAATGTGTTTAAATTAACTTAATATCTTTAAAATAAACTTGTTGTATTTGTTGTTTTATATGTTTAAAAAATTTAAATTTCCAGATGTAAGTATTGAAAAGGCAGACAATATGTGCTTACAATTTTGGCCCTTTCTGCAACACCCTGTATTATACGGGTAATTTTGAACCCTTAAAGTGCATCGCAGACTACAAAATTTTGTTTTAATTTTCTATTTTGCAAGAATTGATTGACAAAAAAAGAATAAATGTTTAATAATAATGTAAAATACTATTATACGAGCGCGTCGAACTGCTTCGAAAACTTTAAAGGCATTTTTCTCAAAACACGACTTTTTTAAACGGCATGCAGCATAATTCCAACAACTTTCATTTCATTCACTCCAAATTTTGATTAGACCATTTTATACTATTTATATATACAGTGTGGCGTGTATAATCTATAAAAATTAAACTACAGCTTCCTAACGATATTAGTAATAGAAAAGTCTTATACAAAAAGGTTAAATTTTTACTTTTTTTTTTCGTAAATTAAAGTTCAATTATGGATCAAATTTTCTCTGGAACGGTCCTGTCCGTGTGCTGTACGATGAGTTACGTGCTGTAGACCAGCCGCGTAAACAAATTGTCACGTCATTGAAAGATAAAAAGATACTTCTCAATTTTTGGGGAATTTTTCAATGCAAAAGGACAAATGTAAAGCGTCCAATCCATCGCTGAGGAAACATTTCATCCAAAAGTATTGTTACTTCTCGAGTCATGCGAAGAAGCTCTATTTTGAAGATAAAACGTGTGCTCAAACTTGTAATGCTACATCGTCCAATAATTCAGGCAACCGGTTCTCCAAAAAATCAGCATAATTATGTCAGTCCATTTAGTCGTCCTTCACAGAAATAGGGACCCACAAGTACATCGCCTATTATGCCAGCCCAAACATTTACCGAGAACTGATGTTGAAAATGAGTTTCCCTAATCGCATGAGGATTTTCATCGGTCCATATGTGCATATTATGGAAATTTACTTCATCACGGGTAAATGTCGCCTCATCTGTTACACAAACATAAGCAGGAAAGTCTACTTGATTGGCACATTGCCATAAAAACCATCTGCACAAATGCATTTGTTGATTACAATCCGGGGGTCGTCGAGTACTAATTGTGGGGTCTTCGTCAAGATTTTCCAACACTGCATCTTCAACATTAAGGTTCACTTGCTGACCACGTCCTTCTCCTCGAGGAATAACTCTTCTAGTGTCTCGCAGCCGCTGAACGCACTGTAAGATTGTATTTGCACATGGGGGGGTGACGTTGTGGCCATCGTTCCCGGTACAACCTAGTCGCCGCGAGCGCATTTTCTCCGGCTTCACCATACACTAACACCATATCGACACGTTCGAAAATAGTAAATGCATTTTCTCGGTTCATTGTAAATCTAATTTGTGCACAAACTAAAAAATTAAGCAAAGTAAGAAATAAGAATCTTATTTTTAATGTAATCGGCACGCTATTCTTATTTTTTACTTCTTTATAAACATTACACTGTCTATCGTGGAATTACAAAATAAAAACTTTTGTCTGGAATCTTTCACTTTTTAACACTGAAGGGTCAATGGATGATGCTTAATATTTAATAATTAAGCGAATAATGAATTCAATACAAATACAAAATCAGTTGACGGCACAAATTTTTTGACAATGTAACCTAACCTTCTCTTAGTATTACTATAGCATTAGTATTACTACAGTAGTATTTTTATAGTATTAGATTATACCGACTTAAATTATAAGGTTGCATCTTGGGTCGCATAAAAACATTTCCAAAGTTTTTAATAATTATCACAGGGTCGGCCTTCATTTTCGTTGAATAAATGAACTTTAATGTACGAAAAAAAACGCGAAGATATAACTTTTTCGTATAAGACTTTTACAAATATCAGGAAGCTGTAGTTTAATTTTTATAGATTTTACACACCACACCCTGTATATATATTTTATGAACACTTAAAGATGTGATTAATAACATTTGTGAATATTATTATCCTCTTACTATTCTCTCCATTAAAAAAAATTGAAAAAAATCGCTTTATTTTAGAATTTTGCAGTGGTGTCACCCCTTTTTTTTTTGTGGAAATATACAGGCGGATTAAAAAATTCAGTACAAAGAATTTAGGAACATATTTTTCAGATCAAAATAAGACTTTTTTTCCTATAAACGAGAGTCCAAAATAAATTTTAAAATTTTTCACCGTAAGTATAGTTATAAAATTTGAAAATATGGTGTGCATTTAACTCTTTATCAGCCAATATCTCGGAAACAGTTGGTCTGAGAAATTTCGACCAAGTATACCTTTTTTGTTTAAAATTGATAGAGGAATAAACGCACTTATACGAAACGTCAATGTACAGGGTAGCAAAAACATTAGGGCCAATTTAATTCAAGTGTACCCTTATAGGTGGCGCGCTCTACAAGCAGCGTCAAAACCAATGATATATTTAAATTTACCATCCTAAAAAACCACCGTACCCCAAATTTTATGCGTATATTTGGAAATTATTCCTAGAAAATTTAAAAAAATAAAAACTGACACCCTGTATATCGAAAACTAAGCATTTGTGGACACACGTTTATAGGAAAAAAATTCTTATTTTGACCTCAAAAATACGCCCCTAAATTATTTGTACTGAATTTTGAATCACCCTGTACATTTTTATGTATTTATTTATTTACACAATGGTTCAATAACGAAAACTCATATTTTTTAGAGCATGACAAAATGACAGAATTAATATTGGCGATTAACAAAAAGAATTCCAATTTTTTTAGATAAAGGAGGGATTACTAGAAAAACTATGTGATCTGAAAATTGGGGACCCGACGGACGTAAAGACGTTCACGTCTGCCGTCATAGACAAAAAGGCCTTCGACAGGATAAAAGGATATATAGAGCACGCGAAATGCTCTAATAACCTCGAAATTATCGGTGGGGGCAAATGTGATGACAGGTAACAGATAGAAAAAAATCTACAAGGCGAATACTTAGCATAAATTTTTCCAGTGTCGGTTACTACATCGAACCTACGATCGTCCAAACGGAGGATCCAAAAGATAGGATCATGACGGAGGAGATATTCGGGCCCCTTCTCACCATTTACGTCTACCCGGATTGTAAACTTGAAGAGACTTTAGATCTCGTGGGAACCACCACACCGTTCGCATTGACCGGTGCCATCTTCGGGCAAGACGAGTAAGTATATGACCACGACCTCTTCGTTTTCGAGTTTTAATCGTTTGACGTTTGGATATAGAAACTGGTTGAGGTGTGCATTGGAGGAACTAAAAATGTCGGCGGGTAATTTCTACATTAACGACAAATCGACGGGAAGCGTCGTGGGTCAACAACCGTTCGGAGGAGCAAGGATGTCAGGTGAGTGATATAAAATAGTTTCGGTTAATTTCAACCGATAACGATCACACCGTTTTTAGGTACAAATGATAAGGCGGGAGGCCCCCACTACCTTCTACGGTGGGGTAATCCCCAGGCGATCAAAGAGACCTTCGTCCCGTTGACGGAAATTGAATATCCCTATATGAAACAATAACTCTATCTTAAGGTTAATTGTAAATTTATTAAGTTGTAGTCATAATTTTCGGCCCAGTATATTTTTTCTACCCGTTCAAAGTATTATTTTAAAGTCTTATCTTACAATTAGGATTTTGTATCTAGTTGAACAGTCCCCAACGTTAGCGGCGGAGCAGAGGCAGCTGCCGTGACGATTTGAAGTTACGTTACCATTTGTCGTGTGATAGTTAATTTTTCGGCGGAGGGGACGGCCGAACGTTTACAAAATTTTCGGTATTATTCGCGTTAGAGTGTAACGACAGACAATATTATCTTATATGACTAAATGTACGATTGAAGTTTTCTTTTTATAACTGTTATCACATATCTGTGTAAAGGTGAATATGTACGTAATCTTACTTGATCCATGTACCGTACTATTGAATAAATTTAATTTATCTCGTGTTTCCTCTGGGGAAACTGTGTTGTATGTCTCGTCACCCGTGAAAAAAGGCAACAAAATTGTCAAGTAGCAATAAAGGCTTTGTTGTTTTAGATTAAATCGTTTCATTTCACATTCCAGAACAGAAACGTGTCTCAGAAGTGTAGATTTACGAGGAAAAATCAAATATTAACCAACATTTTTTTCCCAACACTGGTGAGGTAATCTAGTCGCCTTGCCCACCCGTTTTTAGTTGAGTGAGGGTGTCAGGAGTGGGAGAAATCACTCGACTGATTCCATTGACTGATTTTGTCATCAGTACCACCATGTCGAAGCAGTAGGCCAATCAAATAAAATTTTGACTTGAAAAAATTCCTATCCATGATATTATTGTAAAATTGTCTAAAGGAACATAACACAAGACATCTCTCATCTCGTGAGTCAAAAAATTAGCTAAAAAGGCTAACTTTTCTATTTAAACAAATAAGTGAGGAAAACAGTTTTTTCACTTTGCAGGGAAAACCATCAATTTTAGCGAAAAGTGACTCTCAGACAGCTTATAGGGAGTAAAATTATCTACAAAATGAGACTTGTTAAATTAAAATCGGTTAATAAACAAAAAAGTTNTCTCAAATGGTTGGAAACCACCAGTGTCCCACTTACCCCTCTAAGTCGCATATTTTTCTGTTCAATATTTTTGCCTGAATTTTATTACCGCGGGTTTTTGGGGTTGCTGATTACGAATCAAAAGTCCGAATTCGAAAATTCCTGAATAAAAAATGGCATTCGAAAATTGAAGATTATGGCTGAAACTTAGTCGGTGGTTTTAAAAGTCACCAATCGCGAATACAAGATTTTAATTCGGAAATTCTTAAAAATAACCACTATGGCGGATTGAAAAGTACCGTAGAAATTGGTATTTATCCACCCAAAGAAATGCGTTATAAATGTTTAAAAAATTAAATCATTTGAGTAAAGAATAGGCAGGAAAGTAGATAAGATAGGCGGGTTCTGGACCAGAAGTGACGTCACTTCCATGCCGCCATGATACTTCTTGCAGCTCGATGGACGCTGGCCATTGACGTCACTTCTGGTCCAGAACCCGCCTATCTTATCTACTCGGCATGTCTAAAAATGAGAAACAAAGAATATAAATTCCATTTGATGCATGCTGTCTCTTTCAAATACTTTTAATACGCACAAATGAGTAAGATTTTAGAGCTAAAAATATAAATTTGATCATTCAAATAGCAAACTGACCTGGTATATCCGTTTTGGGGCTGCGGATACGGATTCACCATAAACAAATACACAAAATCTATGTCTTTGGCACAGAACTTATTTTTTGTGGGATTGTGTTATTTGTACCAAATTTTATATTCATTTGTGGATTTTTAACGAATACGAATATCTAAACAAAAATTAAGATTCGTAAGAAATAATATTTCATTATAAAAATAAAACCTTTTGAAAAATAATTCATTTTAATAAAAACATTAAACTAGTGGTAATACAACTGAAATACGTTTTAAGGGTCTATTTCAAAATGAAATGTTTGGGTTGAGCCGTCATTTTCCCAGCACAAGTTGCTTTTTTATGATTTTAAATCCAGAAAAGTGAAACATATTTTATGTGAGCATATTCATAGTCACGTTGGTAGACTAAGTCCGGCTCTGTTAAGAACCGTGTGTTCCTAAACCCTACGGTCACCAGCGTTGCCACAGCTCGCTCAGTCCAGCGAGATCTTGCTCTTTTTATTTTGAATTCACTCCCTCGCTCTTCTTTGTCATCAAATCTCGCCCGTTTTAGTACCTTTCACAACGATCTTTTTGTACGCAAAATCACAGCAGACGCCGGATTTTCGATTTACTTACTTAAAATTTGGCATAGTTGGCAAAAGTATTTTTATTACGTTAAGAAGGCTCTATAGTAAATAGGCAACCAGCAACACATTTTTATAGATCTTATTACACAGTTTGTCTAAATATAATTTAATGCACAAACACTTCCCCAAGCGATGCCGCTTGTTCAAAAGCGGTAAATTACAAATTTCTTTATAACAAAAAGTAATTTGAGTTTCAGACTAACCCCATTTTATAGAAAATCTGCGTTAGAATGGAGGAAAGTCTGTTATTTGTGCATTAATTCATATTTAGATAATCTGTGTAATAAAATCTATAAAAATGTACTGCTGGTTGCCTATTTGCTATAGAACCCTCTTAAATTTTTAATGCTGAAAATATATAAAACCTACAATTTTGCAATAATATCTCTACTCCCCATTCTAATCATAAATATTAGCCCAGAAGTCAGTCTTGTACGGCAGAGGGGCTGGCATCTTATTAGTATGCCGGATTTGTGCCCAGGAACGACTTACCCACTCATAACAAAAACATTAAATTCTTACATTTTATCCACAGTACATGACTACTGACACAAGGGACTTCTAGATGCTCTGGGATGACAGTTAAGAAACATCTAATTTTAAAACAAGTAGTGTTTACTGTACCAATATTGCTGTGAGTATGCTAATATACACTTTTCTATGCCGAGTGAAACCTAGCAAGAAAAACAGCTGGCAATAATCAATGATACTTCGTTAGATTTAAATATTTCCCATTATTTAAACAGTATAAACCGATCGAAATAATTCATTTAGAGGGAAAAAAAATGTTACCTGGACTTTTATTAAGTGGGAATGGTAAATGGGTTTATAATAAACATAAAAAATAAAATTGTGAGTAAGGGTGGCAGAGGGTTGATCAGGGTTGATTTAGGGGGTTGAAAAGTTGTAAAAAATTGTATCATTGGGATTTCTTGCGATAGTTGACGTCAAACAAAAAAGTATCCAATATAACAGTTGTAGATCATGCAAAAATCTACAACTTTTTTAGAGGTCACTTTTTAAGATAACCTCAAAATTCCCGAGAAAAATGCGAAAAACTGGTTTACTGTACAAAAATATTGGGTCAAATTTTTTCCATACAATTGAATGATGTAATCAGTTTTTGAATTTTTTTTAAATTGAAACAAATTATCAACAGTTACCGAAAAATTCATTGTTGCGTAATTTTTTTATTTTTTTGCATTTTTGAGCATGTTTTCGAACTGTGATTACAGATTTTTTTATTTCACCAAAAAGTATGTCGTAACTAAAAAAATTATTACGGGCAAAACTATGTACGATGATTTTTCTAAATAGAATATTTCTTTGAAAAAGTGTTTCAAACCGGAAAAAATGAATATCTCGGAAACTTCTTGATTTTTTTTTTTTAATTTGTGGATATTTAAAACACAGAAAGGTATACCTTCACCAAGTTTCGTTAAAATTAATTTTTTTTTGCGGAAATGAGAAATAAAAAACGAAAAATCAGAAAAAAAAACCGTTTTTTGCATTTTTCTCGGAAATTTTGAGGTTATCTTTTTTTTGAGGTGACCTCTAAAAAAGTCGTACATTTTTGCATGATCTACAACTTTTGTATTGGATATTTTTTTGTTTGACGTCAACTTTCACCAGAAATCCCAATACAATTTTTCACAACTTTTCAACCCCCCAAATCAACCCTCCGCCACCCCTGCTCACACACTTATTTTTTTTTCGTTCATTATAAGCCCCTTTACCATTTCCGCTTATAAAAGTCCAGGCAACAATTTTCTTTTTCTCTAAGTGTAATTTGATTGGAATTGCATGTATTATTAAATATTTTCTCTGCCATTTCTAGACAGGTGAAATTTAGCAAAAGTCTTCTTTCATCAAGACCCGTTTCCCATTACAAATAAACCTCCAAGGGATACATAGTGTAGGTATATGTTGCACCCTGGTGTTGTATGCACAAGAACGAGAAACAAATTTTTACAAAAATTTATGACTTGAAACTAACAATAAAAAAAACTGCAGTCACTATTTTTCTTTAATATCTTTCTTATAAACAAAAATTACATTATACATACATCGTAGTAGTACCATTCCTGGAAAAAGCTTCATCAGAACACACTTCTCTAATTAAAAAAAAAAGATGAGGAATCCATCTAAACCCTTGAAGTGTAAATATAGATAACTGGTGCTGGTAAGTTTTGGAGAATATGCAGTTTCGGGAGATTCCCGTGTGAACTAGTCCCTACTGTTTCTGTTGCTTCTTGAGGTGGCCCTTGCTCCGGAGATGAATCTTGAACTGGGGTTCGGAATTCAACGTAAGGTTACAAGAGGGACAGTAAAAATCGCCGGAAGGCGTACGGTACACGGATAAGTTAATATTATCCAGCGGCTTGGCAACTTCAGCATCTTAAACAAAGTAAATAGTAACATTACTTCTTTTTATTAATATTATGCCCTTCTTTTAACAATCACCATTAATTCAAAATATAAAACCGTTACCGTTGAAATATTAATAATAGACTTTTTTAAAACACTTTCGTAAATTTCTCTCAAAATAAAAAAGTAAATTTCCAACCACTTTGTAATAGTGTATTATTTATCTTTAAATTTTACCTATACGTCAAAATATATCGAGTAGGTATCAATACTTTCTTTCGATACAACTACCAAGTAAAACTATCGATACCTACATGATATTGTTTCATCCCTACACATCCCTTACAAGCACACAATCATTTAATTCATAAAAATATTTTGATCTCAAACGATGAGAATTGTAACACTAAAGCCTGAAAAGGGAGTTTTACAAGTACATCTTGAGAATGCACATTTTTAACCTGACATGACACTATAACAACTACTCTGCAGACTAATGCCTTGACCAGCATTAAATTATAGCCGCAATATCTAGTAAACAGCTCAGGAACATTTGTCAACTCAAAGCATCAGATTTATACTGGTTTAAAATTTGTTAGTAAACCATAGATGGTACAAACCATAGATGGTACAAACGATGAATGATCCAGCTAATTTTAAAGTCTATGACACGAAGCTGCCCCCCCCTAGAAATCGAATGGAATTTTAGAATTTTTGTAGAGATAATGAAGATTTTAAAATTAAGAGCGCTTTTGAACGCGCGAATTCAGTTTTCGAAGCCGCCGAGTAAGCGTTACTCCCCGTCCGCCTGCTACAGTTAGCTAGAGCAGCGCTCGAATGCTTCGGTTTGATGCACAATAAAAAATGCAGAGGGTGGCTAAAATGAACCACAGTATTTTTTTATTGAAAATATAAGTCTTCAACTCCAATCTCTGTAAGAATGGACGCTGTGGCACTTAAATAGCGGCCTGTGGGATTTTTTGAAAAAAAAATATATATACAGGGGAATTTTTTTCCTAAATCACCATATTTTTTGTTTCCAGATGGTATTTTTTGTAAGCTCTTCTATCTATTGATTATATTATGTAACCCATCAATTTTATATATTTTATAATTTTCGTTGAATTTCTTAATTTTTTAAGTTACTTATACTTTTTCTTATGTTTTTCTTGTATTAAAGAGGTTTTATTAAAAATACTTCTAAAAAAATGAATTCACTGTACCTATTTCTACCTAAATTTATATTTCTCCCATCCTCTCTCTTATCTTGCCCTCCCTAGCTCATTGGCTGGCAATGCCCTTGGTCAATGCTGCTGAGGCCTTCAAACGTGACATACTGGTTAGAACTGAGAAGCTCAAAACCGGTATATGTCTGGTGGGTTTTGTCAACAAATGAGCTAGCTGTTTGCTAGCTCTTGTGAGTATAATTCAATGCTCGTCGGGGCATTCCTCGGCAGAGTAGTTTTTTCCTGCAATATCAGTCGACAAATTGTTTTACACAGATCTTACTTTGATAGTACCTGCGAAACAGTAGGTTGCTCTATGCCAGTTTGACCACTTGAAAGCCTAGGCGTTGCACATTTTTGTGAATATTACGAGGGTGGTCTGAAAAGTTTCCGACCTCAACATGAAGATGGCAGCACTCGTAAATAAAAGCTAGTGAATTTCGTGTCATCTGTTGACAGTTACTCACCAAAATTTCAGCCATTTTGAACGCGCAGTTGTTATGTAACAGTCGTTTGAGTGAGTTGATGTGAGAGTTTTTGTGAAAATGGACAAAATTGAGCTGTCATTAAATATTTGTTATTGAAAGGCAATACGCCTATGCAAATCAAAGATGAGTTGGATTCTGTGTATGGGGACTCTGCACCATCATCTACCACAGTGAAATTTTGGGCAGCTGAATTTAAACGTGGCCGTAAGAGCTTGGGAGATGATGAAAGTTCGGGATGTCCAAAAACTGCAACTACCGACGAAAACATCGCCAAAGTTCACCAAATGGTGCTAGACGACCGCCGAAATAAAGTGAGAGAGATAGCAGAGGTTATGAACATGTCAAAAGAACGTGTTTGTCACATATTAAATCAACATTTAAACATGAGAAAGCTGTCCGCGCGTTGGGTGCCGCGTTTGCTCACGTTCGACCAAAAACGTGTTTGAATTAACATTTCCAACGCTCTGTTGGCGCAGTTTAGGCGCAATAAATCCGAGTTTTGGCGCCGATTAATTACTGTAGATGAAACTTGGATACACCATTATACACCCGAAACAAAAATACAGTCCAAACAGTGGACTGCAAAGGGGGAACCGGCTCCAAAAAAAGCAAAAACTGTTTTTTCGGCTGGGAAAATGATGGCTGTTTTTTGGGATAGTCATGGAGTTATTTTAATTGATTATCGTCAAAAAGGAAAACCAATTTCAGGAGCATACTACGCATCATTACTTGACAAGCTGAAGGCAGAACTTGCGAAAAAACTGTCACATTTGCAGAAAAAAAAATCCTGTTTCACCAAGACAACGCACCGTCTCACACCTCAGAAGTTGCCATGGCGAAAATCCACGAATTACGGTTTGAACTGCTTGACCATCCGCTTTACTCATCAGATCTAGCCCCAAGCGACTTCTTTTTGTTCCCTCATCTAAAAATTGCGCTCGAAGGACAGAGATTTTCGTCAAATGAAGAGGCAATCATCTTCGTGAACAATTATTTTGCAGAGAAAAATGCCGAGTACTATTTGGACGGGTTACAGAGGTGCATCACTGGGAGAAGTGTGTAGAGTTACAAGACTATGTTGAAAAATAAAAAAAAAAAATTCTGAAAAAATGTCTTGTATCTTTGTTAGGTCGGAAACTTTTCAGACCACCCTCGTACATACCATTATTTAATTCTATTAGATATGAAGTTAAAGAAAAATTACGTTTATTTGTTCTAAATTAAAGTTATATCACAATTGTGTTGAAAATTGACTTTTGTAGAAAATTTTCTTTAAATATTTTTCGTATTATTTTTAGTTACAAAAACGGAATTATAACCCTTAACCACTCATTTTGCAATATATAGGCTGTTACAAATTCGCTTCCCACTACAGGGATCTCGGAAAAGGTAAGAGATACGAAGTAGCTTAAATGGGGGCAAAGTTGCATAATCAGGTAATCAGGGGACTAACATTATGCCTCTAAAAAATCAAGGCTAACATGATTATTTTTCGAAATATTTGAAAAAAAACGAAATTTTGGAAATCCGTATATGTTTCATTTCAGCCTTGTGTGAGGTGATATTGAAAAAAGAAAAACACTTTCTCATTGGCAACTTTTTGTCCTTTATCGAATGCCATTATCAATTTTTATATCCAACGTTTCGTCTCTCCAGGACCGTCATCAACTTCATTTTTTTAAATATGACCCTAAATTTTATTACATTTTTTGCAAGCCTTCATGGCTCCCAATATTGTACTGCCTCAGCCCGAACCAGATTCAGACATTTTGTCTCAAAAAATTCATCTTGTATTCATTCCAAATTTATCAAATTGTTTTGGTGGATATCACAGGGTCTAACGACACTTGCGTGTATTCAATAAACAGAAATCTAAATTAAAAAAATTTGATTTTGAAACGAATACATTGAAGATGAATTTTTTGAGGCAAAACGTCTGAATCTGGTTCGGGCTGAGACAATACAGTATTGAGGGTCAAGAAGGCTTGCAAAAAATGTAATAAAATTTCCAGGGTCATATTTAAAAAAAGGAAGTTGATGATGGTCCTGGAGAGACCAAACGTTACATATAAAAATTGATTATACTATTCGATAGAGGGCAAAAAGTTGCAATGAGAAAGTGTTGTTCTTTTTTCAATATCACCTCAAACAAAGCTGAAATGAAACAAAATCGGATTCCAAAAATTTCAGTTTTTTTTCAAATATTTCAAAAACCAATAATGTTAGCCTTAATTTTTTAGAGGCATACTGTTGGTCCCCTGATTATGCATCTTTGCGCCCATATTTCAGTTACTTTGTATCACTTACCGTTTCCGATATCCCTGTAGTGAGAAGCGAATTTGTAACAGCCTGTATATTACATATATTTAACAACTATACCGAACTGACCTGACTTCTGGGGCTGCACGTTGGTAAAGAAATTGGCAGGAGTAAGTCCCAGCTGCCTCATCTTCTTCTGGTGTTTCTGCCCCTTATAGTGCATCTCTATTTGTTCCTGGCACGTAGCAGCTACGTTACAAATTTCGCAGTGGAATTTTGACTTTGAACTACTGACACTTGTCGCTGTTACTGTAGTTACTGTAGCCGGGACGGCTACCGGTTTAGGTGCTTCAGGTTCGGTTTTCCTGAAGTCCACACCAAAACCATCCTCGCCTTCGGGTAGGGACAGTCCTTTTTTCGAACTAAAAAGATAATATTTGCATGTAGTCACTTTCTGGTCATCGTAATTTTACTTACCCCTGTCTCACCCATTTTCCTTCTTCATTGTAGTAGCCTTTGCCAGCAGGTGGTCGATAACCTAGCAGTGCCCTAAAATAATATCGTATAAAAAATATAAAATAGCTACTTTGGATTAAACAACCTACTTTTGGTGGTTTTTACCCATGTAGTGTGATTCTGCATGCAATTTGCCAGTTAAAGGTAAATCGCACATGTCGCAATGAAACCATGCAGGATTTTTATCCTCCTAAAAAAAAGAAAAATATTAGAAATCATGAAAGCATATATATACTACAAAGGAATGATCCTAACCTCCACTTTTGCTGTTTCCGTTACTTTTGCCCTCTTATGCAAAGGCTCGCCAGTCTTCTGCGAATGTTCTATAAGGAACTTCCTTACTTTTTTCTCGTGATTCCTCGATTTATAGTGCAACTTTGCCATAACATTACTGCTAAGTTGGGCAGTGCACAACTTGCAGTACAAAGGCTGAAACATCGACGTCAACTCTTTGGGTAAAGTAGTGTCATCCACATCAGGAACGACTTCTTTAACTGCAAACGACTCGGTGCAGGTATTTCATCACTAAATCAAACTATCACTTACAGATGTTCCTCTTATAATTCTTCGGTTTTTCTTGGATGTTGGACAGGGCGTTGTAAATATTCTGTGTTATGGGCACTACAGGTGTTGTGTTTGTTGGGGTTGGTGTTACAGGGTACTGAGTAGGGTATACTACCCCTTGTTGTTGCCAAGGGCCGTACAACCCAGGGGTCTCGTAATAGTTATAATAAGAACCAGCCAAGACCGGGCTATCGGTGCTGGAGTAAGCATTATAGCCATTACTACCGCCGTTAGAGTAGTCAGTCGTCATTTCGTCGGATTTTCTTTTGGGAATTTTATAGTTTCTGTCGATGCCTAAATGTGAAAGGGATAATTATTTTATTCAAATGGCTTGCTTACGAATGAGGTGCTTTTAAACTTACCCTCTAGCGACATAATACAAACAACAAACAACACGTCTTCGTTTGCAACTACTCGGCCTGGGCAAAACAAATGTCAAAATTGTCAAAAAATCGATTTGTTGAATTCGTTATTTCTTCAACTGTCAATAGATGCCACATCTAACAAGAGATATTACAATATAAATTATTACCATTACAGTTAGTCAATTAATTGTTATACTAGAATTGAACTTAACTACCCTAAGTGTTTGACAAATTCCGATGAAATAGTTTTAGGTACACACTAATAATTAAAGAGTACCTAATTTTATTTCAATTCTGTGGGTATTATGAATAACTAGATAATAGTTACATTACCAGTCACAAGATGGCACTGCAACTCACGTAAAGCACCGATTTTTTTTGCTAACCGTGTTAGCTTCTTTTTTAATGTTTTTATGTAATTTACAGTGTACAAAAATCCTCTAAAGTTGTCCATCTATTAAGTTTCTTTTTTTTAGTTTTTTTTATACATGAACCTTTATACATAAATAAAATAGACTGCTCGCTACAAAGCTGCTTCTAATCAAGGAGATAATAATACTAGCAAGAGGAGGCAGGTGGCACCACCGTATTATTAAATTTTCGCAAATAAATAAAAGATAGTAAGTCATCATTAAATTTTATTTATAGTATACTTCTCTATACCCACTTATTTCATAGATCTATGCTATCATTGCACTGTTCTTCCAGTTTTGCGACATATTCTTAAAAAAAGGAGTTAATTTCTGATAGGTTTATCTATCTTTAGGAAATACCTACCTTTTATAAAATTTTTGTTTTCTGGATTTCTAGCTAACGCTTCCCCTATAGCTCTCTTATACTCTTGATGATCTTTAATAAAAAAATTTACTTTGGCTAGCAACAACCAGGATTTCAAACAGTCTTCGTTTAGCCTCAAGGCCCAGTCCAAATCATCTTTGGCTTTGTCGTATAACTTCAGATTTATATGAGTGAGGGCCCTGTTGTTGTAGAGCAGGCAGCTGTCTTTAATTTGTTCAATTGCCTCAAAAGAAAAAAACAGGCATGAGTATAGAGAACCTCATGACAAAATTCAATACCTTGCTGTATAAACTTAGGGCTTTTTCATATTCCCCCCTTCGAAATGCCAATGTGGCTTGTTTCTTGAAAGTCTCCATTTTCTCTTTCCTCACAAGTCTATCTTTGTATCTTTTATCAGCATCTTTCGAGATCTGCTCCATGAAGGCCTCTAAAAAAATGGCGCGTCCAAAAGACATTTGATAATATTGAACACTTTTCAGTTAGTAGAGTATCTCGTACCTTGAGACATGGTAGCCTGATCTTTATCATCACTTTTCAAGGCATTTTTATTGACCAAAGTCCTGTTACTTTTTATCTTCAACTGGACATTTTGTTCGTCCAATTTCTCCAAAACCGTTTCCCTATTATCTCCTAGATACCTTTGAGCCTCCAGGTCACCTATCCTCTGAACTTCTTTGTCTGTGGAGTTCAACTTTTGCATGATGCTGCTGACCTCGTTCACTTTGAACATGAAATTGTTGAATTCCTCATCCAACATGCCCATACGGTCGCGGTTTGTCATTTTTTGAATAATGTATTTTATATTGTTCACTTAAAATGTCAGCCGAAAGCGGACAGTGATAGTTTATACGTTTCTATGGCAACGCAGTATTGTTTGGTTACCATGGGAACATCAGTAGGCAAGATAAATTAAGCAAGTGCGATTGGCGATTTTCCTGAGGAATTAAAATATACTTCTAAATTTATTTTCAGTATTAACGAGGCACGTCTGTGGATTCTGCAAAGAAAATTACAAAAAACATTTTATACATTGTACGAAGCCGTTTCTGTTGTCAAATAATGAACGAGTTTTATTGTAATAAGTCGTATTTGGTGGATTCACAACTGCGCGATAAAGAAATTTATAATAACGCAAAACGTGTAATTAATTAGTCAGTTATTTAGAAAAGTTATTGCCCCTTGGCATTGCTGATTAATAGCAATAATTCCCATAACAGTTCCTGGTGTGCTTCGTCGACATTTCGACGTTCAATAAACTCCAGAAACATGAGAATAACGTAAAATTAAAGGCAGGCTGATTTTATTGTATTGCGTGATTTTTCAGAGATCGGATAATTAAAGAAAAATGCGCAAAATTATCTAAAGTATGCAAGAAACACAATGTTTTAAACCTGTCGGGTTAAAAAAGCTACACTCGCTAAAATTGTATTTTTTTAAGATATTCGATGGGTACTAAGTCAGGGTTGTAGTACGCCTTATTCTACCAAAAAACGAAAGAGTCACAGAGTTCTTTGATTGTCCTTTTATTACGATATACAGGGTGTTTCGCATTGCAGCTGTTATTTAAAATAATCGCAAATTCAAAAGCTGGCTATGAATTTAAACGTCCAACTTGACGATCAGGAAAAAAGTCATTTAATTTTAGTAATTGTTTGCCGAGTGTTTTGAAAATGGTCGGGAAGTTTTCAATTAGCGAATAAGTTGATATGCTATTCGTGTTAGAAGTTAGTGTTGATATGTTATTAGTGTTACAGAAGAAGTGGGAAAAATATCGGAGATTTCCAAATCGTGTAATCCCCTATAGAGAAATATTTCTCGCACTTTTCGTATGGGAAGTGGGTTTCGGCCAATTTTTTTGAAACTTCGCAGGTTGATAGTTCTTAACATGTAGATCGAAAGTCTCGATAGGCACAAAGCCCCAAATCCACCCCTTCCCCCCCAAAAACTGCCTCCAAGTAGTTTACTTGTCGTTTTATGAAAAAAAAGTTTCAAATAATGAAATCTAAAAAAAAACTATTCTTGTTTTTTTCGAAAAGTCAATGCTTTTAGCTTTAAAACGCCACCAAAGTTTAACACAGAGTATACGTATTATAGCTGTAGATATACACGTGTGTTAAGTTTAACAGCGTTTTACAGCATAAATATTACTTTTTCGAAAAACTCACATATAAACTTTTTTTAGATTTAGTCAAAATAAATAACTTTTACTTGAAATATTTTTTCATAAAATCACAAATAAACTTTCTACAGCTATATAAACAATAAAATTGTTAATAACAATTTTCCTGACCCGATTTCGTAAAATTGAGTTGAAGATTCGAATTCAGTGTGAAAAAATACGTGCAAAAAATATACGTGCAAATATACGTGCAAAAAATACGTGCAACTATAAAATACAGTAATCTGGAAAATCCGAAGGCTGATTCGTAGATGGCGGGGGATGTGTAAGGGGTGGGGTCAAGTGGGGCAGTTTGTTAATAAAAAATGTGGTTGTTTGGGGTCATTGTTGGGTTGATTAAAAAAATAAATTGTTTTACATGCAGAAATCAGTTAAATCGCCCCCGCTAATTGGAGGCAGTTTTTGTGGGGGAAGGGGTGGATTTGGGGCTTTGTGCCCATTGAGACTTTTGATCTACATGTTAAGAACTATCAACCTGCGAAGTTTCAAAAAAATTGGCCGAAACCCACTTCCCATAAGAAAAGTGCGAGGTCCTTTCCCGTTCTCTTATGCTACACTTTTTGATCGTCCCTCGTACTTACAATATCTGTGCCAAATCAGAGAACGGTACAATTCCTCACGTATAAAACAGTCATCTGTCGTTCGACAAAAAAGTACTTTTTATTTCGTTACCGCACAAAAACAATCGGTCTGACCATTTCAGACGGTTAATAAATCAGAAGAAGTGTTAGACATGTCACCAAACCATGTCCTGTAATAACCCGTTCCTTGTTAAGCTTTTTTAAATACCTCTACGGTCAAAAATAATCTGAACGTGTTTTGCGCCTGGCTAGATATGCTGAATTCATTTTCGTAATATGGAATTTCATATGAAAAGGTCAAAAAACCCAGATATTTACGGGCCAGCCAACTTTTGGCGTTCGAAAAATACGTTATTTTTACTGGCGGCGCATTGCGGACGCGAGAGAGAGTAGTGGCGTGCGCAGAGGCGCGCCAAGGGACAGTTTAAATAAAATAATGATTAAAATTGAACTAACATCGACATTAATAAAAAATAAGGTTTATTTGACCTTCATACTACGTAGTCTCCCAGAAAATCGACTACAAACTCTACAACGGAGTTAAACCGATTAAACTGATGATGGTATCCACAGTAGCGAAACCTGATGACAAAATAAACCGAGACCATGTGTAAAATCTAGTAACAACGCCGAAATCAAGGAAAAACAAACAAATCGGTAACAAGATTAAACGCTAATCGCTGCTCTCTTGTTTTGAAACATCACAGCCAGCTAGACGTTACGTAAATATTAGCAAAATGTAAAAATGTAAACCTTCCGTATAAATAGACCCAACAATTTTCAGTGAAAAAAATAGCAGATCTCTATGTCTCATTTCTTAAATATACAATTCTATATTTTTTACCTGTGATATGATAATTATTTTAGTTAAATACCTGTTTTCCCATAACAGATCTGTTACCGGAATAGCCAGAGATTTAATAATTATTCAAATTAGTTTTTTTATAATCGCATATTTGTCTCGGTAAGGGTCTAGCCAGTTGTTCTAATGAACTGGCCATTCTTATAAAACATGCGCACGTCATTCGGCCACTAGCACATAATAGTGACTTGTCAAATTAAAATCTTAATTTTGAAAATGTCTTATGTACGTTCCTTGAACAATATATTGAATAACTACACCTTCTGGGAACATTGAAGGATAATTTTTTATAAATTCTAATTTCATAGAATCAAAGACCATTAAAAAATATAATAGTCTATTCCGAACGGAAATTTCTTAAATGATTGATCTCTTAGTATCTGCTTTTCCTTGAAATTCTAAGATAAGATTGTGTAAAGTCGAACAGCATTATGTACAGGGCGTTTTGAAGAAAGATTAATCTTACGAGAATATTATCATTTTCTATACGCAACAGTTAGTTATTTAATTATTTGATAAACACCGTCAAAGTCTAAGCGAAATTATATAAACGTTGTATAAACATATTTACAATAAAAATAGCAAAATCATGAAGAATACTGTGTACTACAACAACCATAACAAATCACGCCATTTTCCTACAGGGAGGCAAAAATAATTCGTGAATGCTCAAGATTGTGGGTCTCCAAAATGATTATCTCTTAAAAATTTCAACAAAAGTAAGAACAATATTCTTATTTTAAGATATCGTCGTAATAGAGCTACGATTTAATACTTAGTAATGTATTTTTTTAGAGTTGAATCATTTTTAACATTAAATGGGATTTAATCTTTACTTAATGTGATTCAACGCTATAGTTAGACATTGGCGATGAACAACAACAACTAGAGACTCAAAACATTTTTACTCGAAAAAAATGCGTAGAAAAAGTTTCAGAAAGAATTTTTCCCAATGTGCGAAATAAAATAAAGTAAATATTACACATGTGCTTGGATTTAATTGATCAGAAATAAAGTAACCTTAATTTTCTGATAGGTATATAGGAAGGAAAAAGAATAATTAAGGCCAATTTTATATCAAGAGGTTTTTTAATTAACATTTTCTTCGTAATATAATTTCATTTGTTATCCTTAAAGTTTTTGAGTACAAATTTTTACGGAATAATATTTTTATACAGTAAATATTTAGATTTCCTACGAAAAGCAGAACTATGTGAGTAGTGAGGCTTTTTTTAGAATATTTACGACGGTGACAGATGGACCGCAGTCAAAAAAAGCCGCAGATATTTATAGAAGATTTTATTAATAAATATTTTGATTCTAAAAGTGCATAGACCCTAAATACAGAATGTGCTACGAACAGTAATACAACTTCAAAGACTAAAATAAAAAACGAATGTTTTCCTACGGTCTACATACATCTTTTGTTTCGGGTTACAGGGCATCAAAGATGATTTTTTTACTAACGAATTTTGGCCATATCTTTGGCAAAAAACAATATTGACTATCTTGTAGTGGGCATTAACTATGACTTTTCCTAGAGACATTTTAGAATCACTGACCTTTATTACTGCTTAAAAAGTTATGTAAGCACAGTATTTCATGCTGTGCGTTTAATTACGACTACAAAAAACCAAACCAGCTACTGAGCATGTTCGAATATGCCTGATCTAGATATCTAACCTCAATTTTTCGCACGGGTTCATATTATATCCGTTTACTATAGAGATCAATGTTGCATAAACATTTTTTTGAGGTTAGATTTAATAGGTCTAAAATTTTCAGAAAAATTGGGCATCAGAAAGAAAACTATTTTTTCGCTAGAAAAATAGAAAAAACAAAAAAATTGGCTCATGTTACAATCCACGATATATAAGGCTACTATGATTGCAAATATATAAATAATAATACATATATTATTTTGTATTTAAATAACCTTCAGTAGATAATTAATTTACTAAAAAAACGGACTATTTCTACTAAACAGTCTAAAAGCTGATCAAGATTTCTAATATGTTCATGATGACCAGGAGCACGTTGTCCTAGAATTAGAAGATTCAGAAACGTCAGATATGTGCTCAAAAGATTCAAATTCGAAATGGATTCTGACAATCTTCCTTTACGTAAATCTGCAAAATAGT